GTGACGCAGTGAATGAATCTAGGTGCAGGTCTCTAACACATGAAATGTTTAGAAGATTACAAAGCATTTTGGAAGAGAAAGAAACTGAGAAAGTAGCAGTGGATAGCATCATATCTCTTCTTTTGTTTTGTGCTTGAGGATATGTTAGTAGCTCCTCCATCTAGTGCCGATAACCTAAATAAGCAGTGAACCTTGAAAAGTACATTAGTTGCTTTTCCCCAAAGAAGGTCATGGACAACCCTAAATGCTAAAACATATTAAATCTGAAACAAGGTTTCTTCCACTGAACATTTCTGCTTTTTGCTTCATTGCAGCCATACCTGCAGCACTGACCCCATAATAAACAAAAGTGATGTTGGATTGTTTGGAGTCTGGGTGTTTAAAGCCACGGTAAACCGGAATCACTGGCTGATGTGTTATAAAAATGAGACCTGCTGCCACCACTCGTGTGAACATGGCACATTTGGTTCTCCAGACTTTATCAGCTGACTTATAGCAGTGCACTGTTGTGCTCATTTATACCGCATCAGATTTAGTAGATGCAGCGTGTTCTTTTATGAAGAATAATCGAAATCGAATATCAATTTTCAAACATTTATTATCATAACTGAATGGACCTTTGAATAAAGCAATTTACAGAGCTAATCTCTTGTTTATTACCCTTGGTGTCCCTGTGACCCCAAATTCCCTGGCCTCTTCAGCCAGGTGGTGATAATAAAGTATCTGTGGACCCTCCTTGTCAAAGCTGTAAAATCTAATTAGATTTCAGTTTTAGTAAACCAGTCCACTTGATGTCAAACAGTGCTCCAGTTGACTAACACAGTAAATACTAGCCAAGAATTCAGTGAACACATAGAATGATATACTCAACTAACTATGGAAACATAATTGTAACATATGTATAAGTAAGCAAACTTATGTGTGCTCTAAACTAAATCTTAACTATGATAGAATTACCATACGCAAACAAAGTAAACACACAGGTTGACTAATCAACAAGCATAATGTTAATCTTCTACTAATTAAGTTCTTAATTCATCAAATGTTAGAATCAACCTTAAAGTATGACTTTGTTAATAATTTTACCCAACAGAAGCCCATCAAAGCCAGCACAGGTTATTATAATGAATATTTGAAAATCCTGCACTGGTATCACAGCATGAAATACTCTGAGCGTAGGAGTTTACAAATATCTACCCAGTGGATTAAAACATCATGTTTTAGTCATAGACATTATGGTGGATGTGTCAGCTGAACATGTGGTTTCTGAAAGGACTCAGAATCCTTCACTTTATTGTGTTTTAAATATAATTTTAAATGGATAACGCCAGTCATTCCACACACAGTAACCCGCAGTTACTTTTGTTTTCTCTTGGGTAGATCCCTACATGTTTCGCTCACCTTGATTTAAGCGGTTTCTCTCATTCTAACTGGCAAATCCTCTCAAGCTTTGTGAGATTGGTTGGGAAGTGTTTGAACTGCCATCTTCAGGTCTCAGCACAGATGTTCTGTAGACTTTAAGTCTGGGCCACTCGAGGCCAATCACAAACTTGGCCTGAAGCCACTCCAGCTTTGTCCTGGCTGTGTGCTCCAGGCCACTGTTGTGCTGAAAGGTGAATTGTCACCCCAGTTTGAGTTTATGTTGTACTACCTCACTCTTGTTTATAGCATATTGTTGCTTACTAATGTTGTAGCTGAAGCATTCAAGTAAACCAGTACACAAACATTAAAATAACTACTTGTAGAATGATTCAGCTAAAGTGTGCCGAGTGTGTTTTTGTGCTGGTATCTTGGCTGGTTTAGTCTTGTCGTGAGCAGCTGTCTCCTGAAGCTTTTCATATATCTAATATTCTGTACCATAGTCAGTTTGCAGATGGTCTGAGTTGTCATTAACGGAAACCAATTTCCAACGAGGTTTGCAGATTGGCACCTTTTGAATAACATCCATCCTTTCAGAGCCATGTGAGTGAGAACAGTCCACGTTTTGCAGTTAAATCTAACAACGTAGGCTGCACAGGGCTTGAAGTGTCTGTATTTTTTTCCTCCTGGCACTGTGTGTTCACTCAGTTTAACTTTGGTAATGTTTTTTCCTAGGCCGCTAGCCTATAGCTTAACTTGTGGTGCAGTGAGAATGTACCCATTGCATGCACTCTCAATGCGCAGGCGCAGTAGTCTGTCCTATGAGGCTACATTACTCAGTGAATGTCTGGATTCTCAAGATGTGTTTTTGTAAAGTGAGTGACATACTCAATAATGTCAGCTCACACAACAATTAAGACATTATTGTAAACCTAAATACACAGGATATGCAGGATGCCAGTCTTGGTCTATGGTGTCAAAGTCCTGAGGTTTGGATGCTGATTGTCCACCTCTGTGAATGCTTTGAATGTAGAAGCACATGGGAAAAACTTTGAAGTGAATATAATTCAAGTGGAAGTTGTGAATATGAATCTGCAGCTTTCCAGTCCAGAGAAATGTGGCCATTGAGTCACATTCAGTTTTTAACTTGTTAGTTGTGCCAAAATGTCACTTTTAATTAGCATTTTTGTCCATTTCAGAGTAAATATGCATTAAATCATTGACTGCTTGTCATTTTGACAGTCTGTTTGCATTTAGTTTAATAAATATGTACTGTACATTTATGAAACAAATAGCCCCCTTCTGCTGTTTCGTCTTTAACCATTTAATCAACCATAATTATTGCCGATGAGCTGTACTACATACTGTATGAGATGTGATTTGACAAATACTGCAAATTATGTCATACAAAATATAGAGTTGTGACATATTTAAGTCAAATTCCTTCATGTTTAAGGATTTGATGAGCTTCATGAGGTTTTCTTTGCAGGATATTTACATTTCATACACATTGTGCTCATGATTGGAATGACACAATTTTATGGGAGTGAACCTCCAGTTTGATAAATTGTATCATGGGTCATCAGCGATCAGAGATGATTCTTAACTGTGTTTGTTTTTTCCAGAACATTGCACACTGAAAATGAAAATGCATCACTCATGCAGTGATGATAAATCAGCTGAGCAGATCATATTCTGGGCATTTAGATTCATCACAGCAGCCTGTTTCTCATCTACACTTGTAGCATAATGAGCACAGTTCCCTGCTGTGCTGTGTTTTGGAAGCCACTCACTGCTGTGGCTGATTTCAAGTGTCAGTGCCCAGTGGAATACCACCTCCCTGCAAAGAAAGTGTTGAATTCTTGACTTGTTTTTAAAAAAGAGCTCTGTACGTCCAATCCCCACCCTTTTGACATGCTGAGTAAGGACTCTCTTCTGGCCTCTCTGAACCTGTGACAACTCGAATCTATCTGGCTAACTTTTATCTCTAACTTTGTTTCACATTCCACAGTTTCTTCCTCTTGCTTTTACTCAAAAGTTCTGTGGATGACCTCAGTATTCCTATGCATATTTTTTTGTTTATCGATTTAAGTGATTGCTTAGAATCACATACAATAAGATCAGATCAAATGGTGTAGACAAAATGTGACCATAGCATAGAAAGAGACAAAGGGAACATCAACTGCAATGACATTTTATCATTCACCTGCAAACACTGCTGCAAAGAGGTCTTAGAGCTGAAGTAATGAGTTCAGTAGTCAAGTGACAAACAAATAAACCAAGCAAAAAAGCCATTTTCACTACTTTTGTACTTTTCACAGACAAGATTAATTGGCTATTCAACCATAATCACATTAATGAGTAATAAAAATAACAACCCATACTTGTAGCCATAGGTTGCTTGAATTAAATTCAGTTCTTGTTTTTTATTTACTATGGAAAATATCTGGCAATCAGCACATTAATATGAAAACACGAGAGAAAAAAGATAATTATCTGAGATAAACTAAGTACTGTATATCAGTTTAATAACAGAAAAATTATTGAAAATCATGACAACATATGCCAAACAGACTCACCATAAACAACAGCATATGTCAGGCACACTGTGAACAGTTTGATCAAAGCTGCCACAATTCGTGAGTAGTATAATTAACCTTCGTAACAGTGTTTGCAAAGGTGATTTAGCGCACATTTATTAACATTTTGCCCTGCTAGCACCATAGTATATAGCACTGTTCTATAGCTCTCAAAGCACTTTACACTGTTTCCCATTCACCCATTTGCGCACACACAGACACTCCCACATGCACTCACTGGTGATATCACAGGGAGCGAGTAAGGGTTCACTGTCTTCTTCAAGGTCACTTCAACATGTGGACAGGAGAAGGCAGGGGATGGCAGTTGGTCGATTGGTCTGTCTTTTTGGTCGAGACTGAACTGTTTCGATAACTATTGGATGTATTTGCATACAATTTGAAACTGAAATTCACGGATTGTATAAACCAAAAATTCTAACTTTTATGTAGCATCATCATCATCATCAGATCAGCATTTTGGTTTGTCCAGCAGTAATGACACTGACATTTCCATCAGTCTCAGCTGTTTTCTTTTGCTCAGCATTAATCAGTAAATGTTAGTTTGCTAACATGCTAAACTAAGATGGTGTACATGATTGACATTATACTGTAGCTGCTAAACATCAGCATCTTAACATTGTGGTTGTGCGAATGTTAGCATTTAGCTCGAAGAACTGCTTTGATTTAGAATTCGGACACAGCCTCATGATCCTACTGGGTCCGAGGCTGTACAGTCTTACTCAGCTGGCTTTCCTTTCCAAAAGTAAATTTTAATGTGCATTAAAATAACTCCTCTGTGATTTAAGTGACTTATAAATAAAAAAAAAATGCAGTATTCAGTACAGTTCAAAATGTGCCCTACATTTGCAAGAAATTAATAGTAAATATCTCTTTGTATAAAAAAGCACTGAAAGCTATTTAAATTGCAATTAATCAAAACTGTAAGGGGATGCAATATTAATATAAAACCCCTAATTACACTGGTGTGCTTTAAACCTATGTCATACATGTATTTTTTAAAATAGCTTGTATTGTACATAAATTGCAATTGTAGCTGTTTTTATTGATTTACTTGCAATATTCCCTCTTTCCACCTGATACAGTCATGATTATCAAACAAGCAGATAATTGCATCATCCTGTGTCACAGTCGGGTGTTAATAATGTGAGCTGTTGTGACTTGAGTACTGTTAATTGTCTGTTTCCAGCAAAGTAAAGGCAAAACATAACACAGTGGAGGGTTATGGGTGATTTTCAGCAGAAATCAGCCACTTAAAATCACCACGTTTCCTGTTGAGAATAGTTGCTGTTTTTATGTCTTAATCTTTTTTAAGTTACACTGGATTGTTAGCAAACTCTTGCCAGTTCCTTCACTCCGCTGGGCTGGGTATGTAATGACAACATCTATTGAAAATCTCATTTACAGTATATCACGTCTATCCTGCCCGGTCACTGTGCTGTGTCTGTCGAGTGATTCATGTCCTTGTGTAATCTTTGGCAGCTGCCTGACCTGCTGCTGAGTAAGTCAGGTAATGGGTATATTAAAAATGTAACTTATACAATACTTTAAAGGTTTCTGTGGGTCTTAAAGGACTTTATATAGTAGAGTAGCTCTCAAGTGAAGCAGCTGCTGAGATTTTAGTGAGACAGATCATATGGCTGGATTATGTTGCAAATCCTGTTTTATTCGCTGTTCAAATAATGTTCTCCAGGGTACATTTTGAAGTCACCCAAGTGTTAGATTAGGTAAGCCAGTATTCAGTTTGTGTTCCTTCTGTTTCCTCAGAAGAATTAACTAAAATGTTTCAATTCAACAACACCAAATGAAACATTTAAAAAAGGTTGATGTGTAAACATAATGATTTGAGAACATTTTATTTGCAGCACCTCTGGTCAGGTTCAGACTGACACATTCCCAGAACATAAAATACCGAGTCATTCGTAACTGTCTAGTCTCTTACTGGCCATGTTCAATAAGTCAAACCATTTATGTCCCTCACTGGCACAAAAACGTGGAGCTCTTTATAGCAATGCTCACATACACAGTGAGAAATGAAAAGGCAGTATACTCACAGACACATACAGCAGCTACAGGTTAGAGCTACTGCTTTTCTGTTTATTTTCATTCAAGTCCAAGAACTGTTTTCTGCTGATAAAGATAAAGACGACAGACTTGGGCTTTTTGTGAACAGCTGCTGTAGCTTTAGCAGTAACAAATAGTGGTGTGACTGAGAGACTCTGGGAAAGAGCAACAGTCTTGATGGAGAGGGCGATGATTATGTTGGGGTTATCTCATGCTCTGGTTTGCCACAGTGCTACTGGACGTTTGCCCAGGATATCTCTGCTCTCTCTGTCACTCCACTATTCCAGTATTGATAAAAATAATAATTATATAATAATAACAATAATAATGGTCCTGTGTGGTCTTAAAGTCCCATATACCCCAGCAGCTCTGCAATAACTGTGGGTGCCGGGTGCAAGGCAGGCACACGGTTCACTGGTTTACTCCAACCATTTCACATAAGAACTTCACTGGCACTGACATATTTCATGTCTTTGTATCATACATACTTTAGCTGCATTATATTTTTATAATAACAATTGAAAATGGATACAGTTGGACAGTTGAGAGCTGGGTTAGTTTACAAAAGCAGTACTCTAATTTTGGCTTGACTTGATCGCAGCGATAATGTACAAATCTGCAGACTGACTTCGATCTGCAGAAGTGTCCCGTACTCTGAGTGAGAACACTGGCGGGTGAAACTGCACCACGTAGACACAAAAGTAGAAAAACAGAATTGCTGTACATGTTTAGAGGGAGGAGTTGATGCTACATTGTCCATTTTCCTCTAAACTGAACTGGTCCTCCCATCTGCTTGGTGGTCCTCAGCAGTGTCCATTGTTGAGCAGATGAAGGAGCAACAGCAGAAGGCTGAAGGCAGCTTGAAGCATTAAGGTGGGAGGTGAAGCAGAGTTGGGGAGACTGTTGGATGCCAGGGTGGACTGGCCCACCTGCGGTTCATTTCCAAGAGCCTGGGAGGAGACAGACGACATCAGATTATGGCCACTTTTTGGGTAGTCCAGTGCTGATAATCTGGTAATGTTAGGTAATGTTATTTTAAGTTACAAACAGTCCATGTGGATTTCCGGTGATCAGAATTACTCATGTAAAAACAGGCTGTAGATGCTCCGTGTCAAGGTTCATCTTTGAACTTAAGGCTAGGTTTTAAAAAATGGGGTTATGGACCCAAATATTCTACTATTTGGATATTTGTTTGTGACCTCGCTGCAGCCGGTGGGGAAACAGCCACTGCTGTTAGCCAAAGATCGTTTATAAAGTAAAGAGGCATCACTCTGTAACACCACTGAATAATCGGTGAACTGAGTACTTCTCTGTAGTACCAACAACTCCAACAGAGTGAGACTTCACAATATTTTTGCCTTATCAAATGGTCACTGTGTCAGATTAGGCGAGTCGTACATTTCTGCAATCATTGCCTGCTGTTTTTCACAGCTTGAGATGTACATAATGATCATTAAAGTAATATGAACCAACTTTACTGATCCAGTGAATATTTAGGTATATTTTTATGATGAAAAGTT